CCACTGCACCCAGCCTAAGCAACTTTTCTTCAGAGCTATCATCATTAACAGGAATATGCTGTCTTTCTCTATGATAGGGTGAACAATGGTTCTCCAAGGTAGAAGTCTGGATCCCTAGAACCACTGAATACGTTATGTGTAAAGAGACTTTGGAGAATGATTAAGTTTTTAGAGAGAGATTTTTCCAGGATTATCCCACTAGGCCCAATGTAATCACGAATATTCTTATAAGAGGGATGCAGAGAGACACTTGATTATAGTACCAGGAGATGTGAGGACAGAAGAGGTTGCATTTCCAGCTTTGAAAATAGAGGAAGGGACAGATTGTGAGCCAGGGAATGCAGGTGGGCTTTAGAAGCTGAAAAAGGCAAGGGAACAGATTCTGCCTCAGAGCTTCCAGAAGGAACCAGACGTATTGATATTTGGATTTTAGCATACAACCTCCACAACTGTAAAATAATTAGTGTCATTTAAAACCACTCAACGTTTGGTAGTATGATAGAGCAGCAATAGGAAATTAATATACCCACTAAACTATGAAGTCCATGAGAGGTGGGCACTGTTCTATCCACCATTCTTTCACCAGTGCCTAGAACAGTAACTGGCAAAATGGGTACTCAAACAGTTGTAGAATAAACGAATTACTAATCACTTGGTAATACAACCCCTAGGACAAGGGTCTAAAAAGCATGATAAACAGTCATAGAGAATCAAAGGAAAGGAAATGAACCATTACAGAGATGAACCATTATCATGGAGGGAGGTGGCATCATGGAATTTGCTGACTCTGATCTAGAGAGTGAGCCACTAACATGGAGTCTACAATGAGAAAAATGTCTTTTTATATATTATCTCATTTGACCCTCACAATAAAGTCTTCCAGCCAGATGTTTATTCCCATTTCACATTGAATAGAGGCCCTTAGAGATAAAGAAACTTGCCCACAAGCCAAGAATTCAGCCCAACTTCGAACGGAGATGACAAACCTCTTGCTTTTCCAACTATACTATATACCGTAATTCATATCTCCAAGTACATTTCACAAACGTTTTCTACTTTCTTACTGTAAACTTATTCCCACTTGGCAAATGAAAAACCTGATGTTTACAGGTTAAATAATTTATCCAAAGTGCATAACTAGAATGTTATAGAGTGAGGATCTGATCCCAGATCCTCTAACTAGCAAGTGGTTCTACGATTCAATAGTTCTATTACATAAAAATATTCTCAAAATATTTTTAAAATATTTCTTAAAAATATTGTCCTAGTCTGGGTGTGGTGGCTCACACTGTTAATCCTCAACACTTTGGGAGGCCAAGGCAGGAGGATTTCTTAAGCCCAGGAGTTCAAGACCAGCCTGGGCAACATGAGACCTTGTCTCTTCCAAAAAAAAAAAAAAGAAAAAAAATAGCTGAGCATGGTGGCACGCAGCTGTAGTCTCAGCTACTCAGGAGGCTGAGGCAGGCAACTCACTTGAGTCTGAGAGATCAAGGCTGCACTAAGACATGATTGTGCCACTGCACTCCAGCCTGGGCAACAGAGCAAGAGACCCTGTCTCAAAAACAACAAAAAATTTCCTATATTTCAGTTTATTGAACCTGCAAAATTTAAAGTAATCTATATTACCAAGAAACAACCAAATTTGCAGTTTGATTCTTAAACTCTATAAACATTTTTAATCTCCTTATTTCCTCAAGGCAAGCAGTCACTTTAATTTCAAAAATGAGGCAATCCATCACGTCATATCATTTTACTGGTTGGTGTCATGCCAACCAGTAAAAATAAAAACACTAATGGTTAACTTTATATTTTAACAGCTATTAACTTTAGAGAAGACCCAAAAAATTACCTCTCCTAAGCCTCCAGATTCTCTATTAAGGCTTTCAAGTCATTGCTGTCAAATATTCCTAGTAAAGACATGAGGCATTCAACAGAGCAACTGATTGGCAGTAAAGTACTGGGGCAGGGTCTTTTTGCTGTCAGTGAGAGTACTTTTTCTTCCAGCAACAGATCTCTGCAAAACCTAAGGAACTTGGTTGGTAGAGACATGCTGAAGATCAGTGAGACCAAATGATGCTTCCATGACTGCTACTATAAATCAAAGGATAGTAGACAGTAGCAAGGGTCAGCACTCTTTCACATGTGAAAGAAGGAATGACTAGTTTAGAAAATAATTTGCCAAGTTTCATGAAAGTTGTTTTTGCTAAAACCTCTACTATTATTATTGGTGAAGAACCTCACCCCCATGCATGGAAGATCCTTCAACTCAATCTTGGTGTCATTTGTCTGTCTTTGGCTTTCCCTTTCCTGTACCACTAGGCTTAGTAGGAAAGTTTGCCACTGCTATGCATAACAAATACCTAAACATTTGCTAAATTACTAACAGCAAAATTCCACGACCACCAAACATTAAGCTCCTATAGGAATTGGGGTAAAAAAACTTATGGGGCGGCCGGGCGTCGTGGCTCATGCCTGTAATCCAAGCACTTTGGAGGCCAAGGCAGGCGGATCACCTGAGGTTGGGAGTTCAAGACCAGCCCGACCAACATGGTGAAACCCCATCTTTAAAAAAAAAAGCTTATGGGGCATGCTTACTGCACCTTCTCAAGTTGTTTTCTTAATGACCCAAATTCTTGGCAATAATCTCCAAATAAGGTTGTAATTTATATTCTTAAAACAACTATAAGCCACAGAAAGAAAAAAGCCTTTATGGCTTTACACTAAGTGAAGAACATCTAGATGAATTAACATGTTTTAGTTTCAGCAGAGGCAGTTTCCTAGCATTTAAAGCTCTGTTAAAAATTGCAAAATGGCCGGGCGCGGTGGCTCAAGCCTGTAATCCCAGCACT